ATGTCATGCTGGACAAGAATCAGAGTCCGAATAACATTTTTTCATATTCGGACTCGAGTCCGAATAATCACTTCGATATTATATCAGTTCTCCAATTTAATTTTTCAAAATTATTTTCCTTCCTTTCCCTGAATTTCACATTTAAAAATTCGGCGATTACTAAGATTCCGCCGTTTAATTCCGATTTTTGCGCTTTTCATAGCCTCAGGCATCATGTTTCGCTTTGGTCCCGACCCTAACCTTATATCGGAATTAAATGCGGGAATCTTCACAATCGTCAAAAATTCAACCTAGATCTATGCCGCATACCCACAATTTTTGTGCCAAAACTTTCTCCAGAATATAGGCCTAGATCTAGATCAAGGCCTATATATTCTAGATCTAGATCTAGATCTAGATCTACATTTCCACAATAATATTATGGGGTTTCTGACTGTTAATAAGTCAACCACAGCTAAGTCAGTTTTGGGCATCCTTCTCAATCAGTAATTAGATCTAGAATCTAGATCTAGAACTAGATCTAGATCTAGAGTTCTAGATCGCGAATCTAGATCGCGAATCTAGATCTACTTGACTAGGTATTGCGCAATTTCAGCAGCTGGGGGCCTATCTGGTTCTTGTTCTGGGTTAACTGCTAGCTCAGCAGCTCAGCCCTAAGACCTAAGACTAAGGGGCTTACAAGATAGACCTACCTGTCGCTTCACAGGTGATCACCACCACCCATCAAAATGACAATATTACCCACCAGTTACAATGGTCTAATACCAAGGGACTAGGTTATATCTAGTCTAGTGGGGCGTCTTTTGGTCTGACTGGGGACTGTGTCATGTCATTGTTAGGCTACCAAGATTTGATGCAGCATTCCAACTGCAGTCAATGTATCCAGATATATAGGCTAACACTAACACTACACAGCAAAGTATGCTCAAACATCCTGAGCATTCAAAGTAGATACCAAAAAATGTGGAAAATACACATACCACCAGCGTTTGTTTACACATGATGTCCCTCTCTTCTCTGTTGTCTGTCCTGCACAGTGAAACAAGAGAGTGATGGCCCCTGACAAGACCGCCCATCGACAACTTCCGGACGTTGCCAGAGATTCTATTTATAGAATTCAATGTAGGTTGGCAACAATATAATACATTACCTAGATTTCCAAGTACAAGGGGGAGAACTCAGACATACACCTGGGAATATCTAGAAGTTACAAATGGCGGCCAGTGAATCAAAACACTGGGTCTTTAGGCGATGAAAATACATGTACAAAAAACTGTATTGAAATGTTAATACAATAAAACATGTATTTTCACAAATAATTTTCCTAAAAACGAAAATAAATCAAAAGCAAAAGGACAAAGAGTTATGGAACAGTAACTTTCGTCCTAGTCAGCGGGAAACGGAAATCGTTTGACTCTTGGCCAACTGGAAACAAAAGCAAATATAGGGTGGGAACTCACTGAGCAGACGTGGGTAGAAAGATGCATTCCTGCATGTTAGAAATCTCCATTTACAGGTAGATACGTTCCTTATTTATTAGACTTTTTAAAGAGTGGGGGGGGGGGGGGGGGGTATACCAGAGGGCTATCTCGCTTATTTGAGAATCAAATTGTACAAGTATAACAAATTATATGGCGAGAAGTCTCCAAATCCGTAATCAAATTTTAGAGAAAAAAATCTCGTTGCCATGGAAACGATGGCCATATTGGATTCTGTTTACATATCTTATCATACAGTTAATACCTCACTTATTTTCAATGGAAATAGGTGACGGGTGCTCTGGTGTGGTTTGCTCCTTCTTTCATCAAACATACGTCATCCTTATCTCTCCTTCGTCTTTTTTGTGTTTGTTACTCTCTTGTAACACCTCTAATCTTCGGCACTTACATTACCTTATTATGTTGCAAGTGCCGTAAAACTCATACTAAAACAAAACTAAAGAAATAAGTTGTTATTTGGCATGTACGTTAGCTCATAATTTCTACACAATTGTCCGTGGAATTTTTGAATGTTTTCTTGAGGCGTGGTAGTATTCCAGATTGCAAAAACAAAACCAAAAGAAAATAAAAACAGCCAAAGCCTTTCTCGGGCGCCACCACACAAAAATCATCCCGTAATTGAAAATTCACAGATAAAGAGCGCGTTCAATATAATCTCACCCTTAGAAGGGAGGGGGTGCGGTCTTTGGTTCCTGTAAGAAAAGTGTAAGAAAGGGGGGGGGGGCTTGAACTAATGTAATATTACACTTTTGTGAGGTGAAAAAATATTTTTGACATACATAATGATGAACACTGCCTCTGTTGATGATAACTAATTTCACTTTTTTGTTTTCAGCATAATGATCAGTAGTATAACAGATAACGGAATCCTGGCAGAGTCAACTTGCTTAAAGTAAACTCTTGCTTACAGTCAACACCTCACTGTGGTCCCCTTTTTTACTTCCTTGTTTAAGTAATTTTAAGAAGATCTAATTGTCTTTCTGATAATATAGTCAACCGCTTGAGTGTTAAGCTTGCGCAAAGTCAACAATTTGGGGCTAAATCCCAAGTTGAATTCATTTATTAAGAAGAGATATTTCGCCTGAACTAGTGGTGTACACACCTCCAATTACTTTGTTCTTTCATTATCTCTTGTTTTGGTGACAACTTCAGAATTATACTCCCTGAAATTGAGATTACATCTTGTTTATTACAAGGTAGTTTGTAAACTTGTAGCTGTCATCTTCAATATTCAATGGCCAGTAGTACAATGGATAAAGTGAACCTTACTCAAGCCAACACTTTTTTTCTGTCCGGGGTGTTGACTTTATCAGAATTCCACTGTAATTTGTTTTATTTGTAATTAAGGCACTTTTGTCATTGACATGAGTCTCAATTTTTTCCTTATTAGTAAGAAAGAGTGTGTACAATATTTTGCATGAATGATTTACTCTAATTTATGTGAGGCAACGTGGTGAAATCAGGCGTTCGTCAAAATAATGAAAGTGAAAGTGAAAAAAAAACTGGCATTTTTATGCAGGTTTGGGAACTTTTGTTGAATTTTTGTTTTTCCGCTGAACACCTTTGACGTCCATATAATAACATATTTCCATGCGAATTTTACTGAAAAACGTTCATTACATGCACAAAATATGTGATTTTTCAGTTTGAAAGGCTCTCAGGCTATTGACGTTATCTAACTTTTGCGGCGGTTTTCTCACTAAATTGACCTCTGAAATCAGGTGACCCACACCTCTTTCAATAGCAAATATATTGATTTCTATTAAGCATAGATGAATATCGTTTTCATCAAAAGAAGGGCAAATGGACAGGCTTTAAGATGGTATCAATAACTCCGCATGCCTTAAAAATGACGAGCGCCTGATCCCACCATGTCGTGACACCTATTATTTTTTAATGCATATATATTATGTGCATGTATGTGTTTATGCATGATTTTCATGTATATTATGCAATGCGCTTAGAACAATGATTGTTTCACGTATTTGTGCGATATAAATGTTATATTATTTTTGTCACCATAAGCGAACAATGTAATATTACAGGGGGAGGGGG